TCCCTTTCAACTTCAGCAGAGAGGAGAGGTCAGACTCCCAAAGGATCCAACTGCCAGATAAACACAGTAAATCAGAGGTCTGGCAAAACACCGGCTGCTGGTGGGCTCTACCTGTCCTGTGAATTAGTACCTTGTATGCCCTGCTTTCCAGATGAAGTTTTGTAGGACTTACACAGTGCTGCAGAACTCACAGAGGTCTCTCCCTACAGAACGGCTCTGTTGTCTTGTAAACTACACTTGGTAGGGGAGACATGCTTAATAGCTAGGTTAGACATTTTCGCCTTCAGCAGGAAAGAATCAAATTGCCTGATAAAAGCTCAAGGGAGTAGGGAAGGGCTAGAGATGATGAAATGTTTGCAGTTTCTTGGGCTTTGAACACAGGCAAACAGAAACAAAAGCCAAGCATGACCAAAGTCGTGGCAAAGTTTATTTATCTTATTTTATGTGTATTGGTGTTTTGCCTGCATGTATATCTATGTAAGAGTGATCACAGACAATAGTGTGTTACCGTGAGGAGGCTGGGAATTGAACCTGTGTCCTCTGGAAGAACAGCCAATTCTTTTAACTGCCAAGCCATCATCTCTACAGTCCCAATATAGTTTATTTTTATACACTCTGTACAAGGGGAAGCAGAGTAGCTATGACCTGTGACCTTGTTGGTCCTCACCCACAGCTCATGACATAGACGCACTGCAAGCAGCAACTATGTGAGCTTCCAAATTGCTGGTGCCTAAAGAAGCCTGAAGCATCACACGGGGCATATATTAAACATAAATTTAGATGCTTCAAAGCAACCTCTACAATAGCTTTGCTCATACTTGTCTACATTTGTGGACATTCCCATGAGTGTGAGCAAAAAGGTAGAGTTACAGGTAAACTGTAGAGAATTACTGTTGAGAATTATCAGTCGTTTGGGTGGTATTTATGGGAGAAGGGCTTTGTATCAAAAAGAAGACATTGTGAACTATTCTGCCCCAGAGCCTGGAAATGACAGCCTTCAGACAGAAGTGGGAGGCTGCAGCAACCTCCCCTTTGATTGGATAACCCCCCAGAGGGGAGAGATGGATTCTTACTTTACCTTTTCAGATACAGTTTGCTCATTTGTCCTGAGAGGGTGAGTTCCTAATGGAGACAGCTTTGATAGGTGAGTGGGACACTGTTCCATCCTGCCGGTAACCCACACCTTCACAGGACCTCAGTAAAATCATGATTTGACTCAACCTGGAGCTAAAATTAGTTTCCCATTAGGGAATACAGCCAGACCACCCTCTGCTCAACTCCTGATAACAGGTTCTGATGTTTTTATTGTCTCCAATGAGAAACTCTGAAGCCACTTTGGGGAAGGAAAAATCAGACCTGTTGAAAGCAGGAGACACAGCAGACCTAGAAAGCTGGCTTAGTGTTCCTATCTTGCAAACCTACTAAGTCTGTCTTCGGCTCCTCCCTCCCTACCCCTTCTCCTTTGATATTGCCAGGTAGCCCCATGATGAAGTATGATTCCAGAGAATAGATTCTCAATACCTCCCAAAGACATGAAATATCAGATTCTCAGGTGGCAAGAAAGGAGACAGAAATGAATGCCGCATAGAGTACAGAAGATTTGAGATTTGGACTCCATAGTCAGGCAAGAAGAAGCTCCTCCTCTTAATAGGAAGATACCTTCACCTCCTCACCACCTCAGAGGCGTGAACAGCATCTGTAAAAAGGATGATGATTCCAGAACAAGCCTCTTGGACAGGTAGCTGAGGCTAGAGCAGAAACTGACAGCTAACAGAGACACTATGTGGACACAAGACTGACATGTTCATAAAACCACACCTCAAGGTGACGGCTGCTGGTGAGAGCAAGACCTTGGGCAGGGTGGCAGCTGCACAGGAACATCCAAAGCTTGAAGAGAGAAGCTGCTTTGAAAAATGACAGGATTGGAGGCATAGAGGAAGATCACTTTTAGCATGTTTTGGGTTCAGCTACAGTACTAAAAAACAAAATGGCAAGACTTGACTCAGCTTATTTTCTGGGCAGGAAGCAGCTGAGACGATCTCAACAGTTGAGGCAAGGGTGTGTCATCTGGTACCTCTGGGGGTGCTTTGGTGTGGGATGCAGCAGACTATGACAGTGGGGAGAGTCTCTACTGGGAGCAGACACCCAGAGAAAGGACCCTGCCAAGGCCTCTGCCTGCAGCTCTTGTAGAGGGTGGTGAACAGGGCAGATTCTGACTGTGGTGTTCAAAGGTCCTAGCTGAGGTTTCTGGTGCATCTGCAGGAAGTGGTAGTGCACTGAGCGTGAGGTGATCTCTCCATAACATCCTTTACCATCAGCAAGCTTTCTCCTGCCTCAGGCTTCAACTCATGTTGACTTAAACATAAAACCAAAGGCTCGTTTTTAAAAATAGTAACCCCAGTAGAGTAAATAAGCTACCCAGCAAGCTGGCAACTGGGCTAACAAAAGGGCAAGAAATGCATTGCCAGGAAGGGCTGACTCTGCTCAGAGGCTCTCTGGGTATCCCTGGAGTGTAAGTAGAAACTACTGTGTCAAAAATAAACAATTATTGGGTTTCTTGGCACCACATAATAATATCTTGAGACCAGTTCAAGAGATAAGACACTAGACTTAAAAAGGGTCTCTGAATAATTAAGCTTACCTCCTAAAGCGTCCAGACTCTTTTTCAAGATGTATATCCCAATTAAATTTCATATCACCCAGACTTACAATGAAACAGATTTTACATAGTAACAGGAAACCCTCTCCAACAGCAAGGAAAAACATGGTGTTATGAATATTCAACTACATAATACATGCAGATCCTTGCCCTCTTAAAACTGTCTATGTAATGTGTTTTTGCATGTAAGTATGAGTGTTTTCCTAGGCAAAGGTCCCTGTCTGAATGTTTCTAAAGAACCAAGAAAGGAAGGGACCACTGAACTGAGCATCTGGGATAGCCAGCATCCATGCCCTAGGCTAACCTGCCTGGGGCACCAGGGGACCCCAGGCCATACTCTCCTCCAAATTAAGTGGCCACATGTCACCCACATTCTTACTCCATTTTGTAAGCTTTCTGTCTCTCTTTTAGCTGTTTTCCTCTTTCTTATATTTCTGCCACTGAACCTTCATTTCTAGGGAACAGATAAATAATATTTGATTTTTCTTTTCCTTTTTTTTTTGAGAAGCAAAGGTATTTAGTGTGTGTGTGTGTGTGTGTGTGTGTGTGTGTGTGTGTGTTTCTGCCTTTATTTTTCAGTATTTATTGCCAGTTCCATTTCCTATGGGGGATCTTTCCCACACCTGGGTTTGTCCTTGTTTCCTTTAGGTTTGCAGGTATTCAGATGTTTGATCACTAAGGACAACCTTGTGAGCAAGTCTCCTATAGATTTTAGTAACAGGGATGCTAGGCAACCATGAATACACAAGCTCACACAGACACATGCACAAACACCCAGTTGGCCTGCAGTCTACAAACACATGCATGCATGTACACGCACATGCACACGCACATGCACGAGTCAGCCTGCAGTCTGCAGACCTGTCCAGAAAGTGAAGGTGCTTTGTCTCTTTTCCAGCTCATATTCATGTCTGGAATATTTACAGCTCCAATCTGAGCTGAGATTTGCAAGAAATATTTAGTTTGCTCAGCAAGGCATTCTTGATCATGTTCTATAAATGGGATGTTGTAAATGAGCCAGAAAGAAAGACTAAAGAAGATATTACCGTTTCTTCTTTACTGGCAGATTACAGTGGTGTGCAGAATGAAATGAAGGGCACCAAGGAAGATAGGGAGCCAGATGTGTGAGCTGCCCTGGGTGTGGCAAGTCCAAGGAAGAGTGCTGCCATGTCCTGGGAAAGCATCCCTAGCCCACGCTTTGAAGCAAGAACCATAGGTTGGGCTGGTTTATCACATTCCAAAAGATTAAAGTGCAGGTGATTTTAAAATATCAAAACATGGAGCTGGGGAGATGGCTCTGCAGTTAAGTGCACTGGCTGCTTTGCAGAGGACCCAGGTTCAAGTCCTAGGCACATCCATGGTGGCACATAACCATCCATAAATCCAGTTCTAGAGGATTTGATGATCTCCCTAGGCAACAGGCATGTATGTACATTACACACATTTAAAAAAGCAGGCAAAACACTCAAACACATCAAATAAATCTTTAAAAAAAAAAAACCCTGAAAAAAATATGAAGCACAGGACTTCCATTCTTCTGTCATGGAAGTTGCTTCATGATTTGAGGTTGAAGACAGTGAAAGATTTAGATTTAAACTTGTTTTTTATTTTAAATTCGTGTACATGTATGTGCATGAGATGTGTGTGGATAGTGTGTGTGCACATGTGTGTGCATAGATGCTTGTACCCATGCCTGTGTTGAGACCAGAGGAGGATGCTGTGTGTCCTGTCTTAGCATTCTTCATTTTATTCCCTTAAGACAGGGACTAGGCTGATCACCAGCAAGCCCCAGCAATCTTGTCTCCAGTCCTCCAACTTCCTCCCTACCCTTCTACCACCCCTACCATGGATCTCCCTGCCTCTCTCCCCACTCCCAAGTCCAGCAGCATGTGTTAACCACACCCAGCTTTTTACACAGGTTCTAGGGATTTGAATTGGGTCTTCAAGCTTATGCAGCACGTGTTCTTACCTGCTGAACCCTTGGTTAGCTCTTTAAAATCATTAAAAAAAATTAAAATAAAAAGTGCCATAGCAGGGAAAGATACAATTCCAAGGAGAGCTAAGAGAATAGAAGACATTATAAAAATAACCGAAATTTAGGTAGATACATATGAACAAGGCACAGACATAATCAACTTTCTGAAAACTGAGACAAGACTGGAAGGTTAGCATCTATGTCCAAGAGGCAAGAGAGGGAAAACCAGCAAGGGGCCACATCTGAGTGGAGCCTGTTGCACTGTGGATGCCTAACTTCTGTCTCATGATACCCAGGGCTCATGCCCATGATCGATGACTGCGCCTGTGACTGTGATTGTCCTGTAACTGGGACTGAGCTCCTTACCTCGCTGCAGTCACCATCTGGGATGTGTGGTGGCCTTGCTTCTTCCTCTAGTGGCTCAAGCACTGTCACCTCCGAGAACTCCTCCCCAGACTCTTGAAACTCAGGCAGTGATCTTCGTCCATAACGCTTCCCACCTCTAACATATTTGGGCTGAGCTTCTGGTGAGCAGTCTGGACAAGGGGACAAGAGTAAAGGCCACATTACATGAGAAATAGCCCCAAGCCACGTGGCGCACAGCTTCTTGTACGATCCCCCAAATAAACCAGCCCTGTAGGCGCATATGAGTCCTTGGGTTAGATGCGGAGCAGTTTGTACTTCTGATGGTCCAAGGATCTGCTTATATGTATCTGTAAGTTATAGAGACTAGGATGGCAGAAAGGAAGTTGATTCAAAAGCTAAGTAATAAGATCAGGAGGACTGGGGATGTAGCTTGAACTGGACATGGTGATCATGCCTATGATTCTGAACTCAGAAAGCAGAAAGACTCAAAGCCTCGGTGTCATCCTTAGTTACACAGCGAGGTCAGGGCCAGCTGGGGCTATAGGGAACTCTCTATCAAAAAGGTAGTACAGCAGTTGATTGTGGGTTATCTGTTTAGTAAGCTGGTGCCTTTTAAGTGTGGGAGGGCAAAAGAAGTAGACGGGGGTTGGGGGGGAATCTAGCCAAGAGGCACCTTGCAGGAAGTCCTTTACCCTGTATGGTTCTGAAGAGTCTGAGGGAACACAACAGTCTAAGCACATTTTAGCACTCAGAGGTAAACACCCTCCTTCACCTCAGGGACCCCCTCGTTAACTGTTCCATTTTCTGATGTACCAGATAAGCAGAGGAATACAAATATGAAACTGACACCGAGAATTCTAGTCAATTAAGGACAGCTCCTCGATTCTGTAAAAGCTGGCATCAAGATCGCATTTATAAAAATGATAAAATATAAAGCCGTGGGATAAAATAATAAGTGGAAAGCCACATTAAGAAACACAATATATAGCGCTTCCTCTGTTTTCAACATCGGTGGTAAGTAAACAAAACGGGGCGTGGCCAGAATAGACTCGCCTCTGACTCTGAAGAACTGTGGCTTTCTGGAGTGGATCCGCAATTACCAGTTACACCCGCACTGCCACCAACCCAGCCACCAAGCGCCATGTCTACAACTACCACCCCTACCACTGCTACAGCATCACCTCCTCCACGCCACCTCCACCAGCAGGCTTCCCTCTACTCTGAATGCTTTGGAGCAATAAAGATAAATACTCCACTCCAGGGCCATCCTTAAGATTTGTAAGCACTTTGCATAATATCAAGGCAATAAGATTTCTATTAAAATAGAAAAGAGGGACAGTGATTTGTTCTCTGTTACCTTATTGTCTGTCTGTATAGACACACTGACTCTCTGGATCCTGTTTGACCCAACAGTCTAAGCACATTTCAGAATTCAGACACAAGTGTTTTAATTGAGGTGTATACATATATCATCAAGGCAAGTCTGAAGGGACAAAACCCCTTTATCCTCGATGGAAGAATGGTTGGATTGGTGGACTCTGACTTCAGCATCCCTGGGAGGGCAGATGACCCTGCTTACCTGTCCACCTTATCCCTATACCACCTCCTTGGGCACAAATTTAGATTCTGTGATGCTCATAGATGTAGCTGCAGCATTCTGAAATGCCCAGGAAAGCTAGGAGTGAAGTATTTATGAAAACTATGCAATTTCCAGCGATTAATACGCAGCTCAAGTCTCTGCCAATTCATTTTATTAGAAGGAGCGATTCTCTTACAGGAAGTGTTTAAGCATGCAAAATTTACATCGAGAGTGGCATGCATACTTGAAGGTACCTTTCTTCAGGAGTGAGTGTGTCAGACTGTGTGTACCCAGGAGCGGTACAGATACTCGAGCTACTTGCTGGCAGCTGACACCCACAGATGCTGGTCAGACAAGAAGCAATGCAGAAGCATCCTTAATTTATTAGATGTTCTTAAATTTTAGTGCTAGACAACAGGATACATCATTAGTAACTAGGAGGGCTTAGAAAGGATTCAAAGGAAAACATAAAACCCAGGACTTCCCAATTATGAGAATAGGGTTTGTCTGGGGATATAACTGGCAAAGGAGTTCTAACTGTGTTTTGCACTGCTTCCAAAAGGAAAAATGGATAAAAGGGGAAAGCAACGGAATCTACACTCTCCTGGGAATGTGATTCTAAGCTTATCTGCGTCAGAAGTGGCCCCTGGCTATATATCGTTAACTTTCCTGTCAAAGAGTAGGGAATGTTGGTGGAATCTAAACAGCTCTTCTATACAAAAAAAGTGTCCAGTTAAGAACCACTGGGGATGTTGTGGATTTGGAGGTTACTTGTTTGTTTGTTTGTTTCAGGAACTTTAAAACCTCTTAAATTACATTTTAATATAATAACCAATTGTAACCAAATGTTAAGTTAATATCTTCTATAGCACATATATGTGTAT